TTACAGCAGAAGATCAAAGCCATGAGTATGAATGGGAATGCATACTTTAAAGATGAATATTCGGTGTGTGAAATGGAATAGAAACAAGCATTTGTCCTAACCTTCACATATGTGTAGTTAAAGAAATATTAATGATTACAATGAAATCAGGAATTTGAACCAAAGTTTAATTTATATATAAATTATACAGAAAAATGTGTTCTAAAATCTTTAATTTAAATTTCCATATTATCTTTTGTCTTAACTAAGACTCAAAACACTGGTAGGACACTAGAATTTCAACCCTTTAAACATTTAAAATGATACCATAAATGATTTATGTATATATGGATTTATGGAGCGATGATTGATCATTATTAAAAAGTTATCTCAATATTTCCGAACACATAATGCGATTTTTGTTAAGAGAAAGGCATTCGTCTATATGCAAAAGCACTATTTCTTATAAGAGATTTCTTCACGATAACAGATTTCATTTATACGAATGTATAAATAACCAAACACGTTTCCCCAAATATGTACATATCACAAATGAATTTATATTCCTCAAAAGGTATGTTCTGCATTACATGGAAGACGAAATTTTAGCTAGTTAAAGTTAATTGAAAGTAAAAGTCACACAACCCATCCGTTGTTTATAATAGGGTGTAGCTGACAACTTCTCAGTTAATAAAACAGTCTATGCTATGCTATAATTATATATATATATATATATATATATATATATATATATATATATATATATATATATATATATATATATATATATATATACTTTTATATGTAGTCCAAGTCAGTGACGCATTAAACAAGACTTGCTGTGGTACTAAATATGTGTTCTGTTTGACATTTACATGCTTTGTGCGTTAAGTCGTTTTTTTTTCGGGGTTGAATTGGTACAATCCAAATTAACTTTCCTTACCGCAATCTTTTTCTTTTAGGCTTAAAATTTTAATTTAAAGGATTTGTGATTTCAGAAAATACAAAAGGGTGAGTTGCATCAATGTAATGAAGGGAAGAAAGCGCATAATGTTTCAAAAAACCGGTACATCACAACATTTCCATGTAAGAAATATTCAGAGGACATTAATTAATGCTATTAATGCTATTTATGCATTAATATAACAATATCCTTTTATTCCTGTGGCGGTGTTAATATTAAAAAAAAGAAAAACAATTAGCTCAATTTAATTTTATAAATTGCATTTAATTGTTTGGTCATTTTTTTTCAAATTCTATTAATGCTTCTTGTTATATAGTTATGCATAATTCACTATAAGAAGCTTAAGTGTGATACTTTTATCCATACAAATAATTTGAAATTTGCTTTTGTTGGACATTGGTTATGCAAGTTTTTATCGCATGAAAACTTACTGTTTCGTAATAATCCTTTTCACCATAACTAAATTATAATAAATGTATTATCTCTTTAATAGATGACCACTCGCGTGTTGTCCTGAATACATTGAATCCAAAAGAAAACGATTACATAAATGCAAACTTCATTGAGGTAAGACTTGTAGATGAGTGAACCTTAAAAACTGCTCCTCTCCTCCAATGCACTTGCTGATCATTACCCTACCTTATACTAAATGAATCTGGAGAAGGAATTTTTCAGTAAGATATTCCATTAATGTTAAGCTCTTGGAAAATTATAATTCGGTTTCTTATCAACTGGAACCACATGGTTCTGTTTTCTGTACTATTCCAGGATGTTCAAGGGAAAAGGACTTACATTGCCACACAAGGTAAATTCAAAATAATTCAAATTCTAACTAAACAACGACCAAAAAAACTTAAAAGAAGTATTAAAGCCACCAACTATAACTATTAGTAAAGAAAGGCCAAAGCTATTTTATATTTCATTTATTGAGTTTGTTCTTAGGACCAAAACCAAAGACGATAACAGATTTTTGGAGAATGGTTTGGCAGGAAAATGTCACTATCATTGTTTGTCTAACTAATTTAAAAGAAGGAAAAAAGGTAAGTTGAAATTAACGCCATTATATATTTGTTGTTCCTTCCTAAAGAATGTTGATTTGATTTTGTATCTTTTAAAAAAATGATTATACTTAATGTCACATCAAAAACTTATATCTGATTTTTTTAAGCATTTAACATTACAAAATAATTATGTTTTTCCTCTTTTACATAAACTAAACTGTTATTTGTCTCCAACAACGATCAAATGATTTAAACAGACGAAATGTGCCCAATATTGGCCAAAAGTCAATGATAAATTGCAAAATGGAGATCTTTTTGTGAGGAATCAGGAAGAGAAAATGTATGCAAACCATACTGTCAGAAAGTTAAGGATTCAAAACGTCTCAGTAGGTATAATATTACTGCGGTCAATGAATGTCAGAGGTAATTTACAGGTATCTAGGATTTGGTTTTTGAATCACTTCAGGTGGAGTAAACCATTAAAATTAGTCCTGTGTCTTCAAATGCTTTTTGCATTAAACGAGATCTTCATATACATGTAATTGTCCTCAAAAAAATATTCAGAGTCACTTGTAATACTATGTACTCAAGTTTCCTAAATGATTTTGTGTTATGTCGTTTCGAGTATACACTTTAATTGTTACTTCTACTGTCGTGTTCAGATAAAGGAATTTATTTTAAATTATCTGAAATGCACTGTATTAAACAAATTTAAACTTTTTTTTTAATTGTATTATATATAAGGCGAAATCCGAGCGTGACGTCTACATGTTCCACTATACACAATGGCCAGACCATGGTGTACCAGAACCATCAAACCTAGTAATGTTTCACCGTCACGTGATGAAAATGTCTAAGACATACAAAGGAAAATACACTCTCGTGCATTGTAGGTACGTGGCGTAAAATTAATTTTTTTTTTTTTATCTTTGGAAGTTTCTCAAAGGAATCGATTTTCTTTCAAGCTCATTGAAAACAAATACAGTTGAACTTCGTTATATCGAACATGGATATCTCGAATACCAGGGATATGTGTCCCGGAAGCTCCAATCACTTGTTCTTTATGTGTGTTTTTTTTTTATCTCAAATCCTCGGATATCTCAAATTTTAACACCTAAGGGGTTATTTTTTGTAATAGTGCAGGAATTGGTCGAACAGGGACATACATTGCTTTAGACGCCCTCTATCGGAGAGCTGAAGAAACGGGAAAAATTGACGTTCAGAGATATTTAGAAATTATGAGGAAAGACAGAATGAACATGATACAGGGAGAGGTTAGCTGTTCATATGATGTCTCAGTATCTTAGGACCTTAATAGTTCCTGATTCAGATATAGTAATGTCATATTCCGGATACACCTGACAGTAGTAGAATATTTATATAAATGATTGTAAAAACATGAGTTGTTAAATTCAATTTTCTTCAAATGGTATATGATAAATTTAAGAAAAAGGAAGTAAATAAAGAAAAAAAAAATTGCTTATTTCCATATTTCTATACATTCCCTAAGTTCAATCAAGCATGTATATTTCTCAGGAGCAATACAAAACAGTCTACTTGGCACTGCTTGATTCGTTCAAAGGAAAACCAAAGAGCATCTCATCAGAAACATTTCTACAAAAATTACAAGAACAGAGTTGTTACATGAATTTAGGGGAAGTTGCAAACAAATGTCCTTTTTACACTGAGTTTCAGGTGATTTTAATTGTTTTTTTTTTTTTTTGTTTTTTTTTTATTTCTCGATTTGAACATAAATGATGCCTTTAAGTAGCATCTACGTAGAAAGTAAATTGACTTGAAAATTATTGCTTTTATCCAGGAATTAATGTCTTTAAAAAGAGAATACACAGATGTGGATTATGAATTTGGTCGAAAGAATAGAGGAGCAAATCTAACCCCAAACGTCTTACCAGGTAATTAGTAAAACATATCGATAGCTATAAATTATGTAACTTTCTTGTAAATTCTAAATAATATAGCATTAATTTTCAAACTTTGCACTCTGTCTGTTTTTTTTTTTTTCTCTCAGAAAAAAATTGAGGGAAGGAAATTAATTTTTGTTTTGCCATTATAGTACATGTTTATTCCATTGCAGTTGATGAGTACATGTGTCATGTTCTTAATTCAAATGGAGAAAGAATATACTATAACGCAGTAGTGTTGCAGGTTAGGATATGTTCATGTCTATAAAACTAAACTATTTCTTTTTTATTTAAAGTTAAAACTGCACTTGAAATAAAACCTGAAATTTAGTACACTAATGAAAACTGACAAAATTTTACATATATATGAGTGGCACGTAATTATTTTTTTTCAGTCTTTCACAAGGAGTGATCGTCTCATATGTGCACAGTATCCTCTTCCAGATTTAACAGAAGACTTTCTAAGACTCGTAAAAGCGTTTTATGCTCCAATAATAGTGTCTTTATGTCCATTGCGAGAGTTTCCATCGGTAAATAACGCGCTTTGAACAGTTTACATTATTTTTTTTAAATAAAAATTCATTGTATCATAACATTTCTTTATATTTAATAAATCCTGAAGAATATAAACGGACATTTTTGTAATGAATCGTTTTTGGGGGAAAACTCTCTAGCTTTAAAAAAATATGTAAATAATTTCAAAACAAAATCCAAATTACTTAATTGAATGCAATTACATTACTGGATGCATTCACAAGTTTATGTTATAATAGAATTATAATCAAATATGTAAATATTTTCAGTCTGCTGTGTGGTTCCCAAGAAACGATGACAATAAAACAGTAGGAGAATTCACTACCAAATTTTCAGAATGCACACTTATGACAAACTTTGTCAAAACGAAAATTGTTCTGCATTCAAAGGTTAGCACAGATATATTTTCTCTGTTAAATATCGTTAAGTTTATCTATTCATCTCATCCCCGATTATGCTTTTTAAGGAAGGCAGTGATGTTCGATTAACAATACTAGAGTGCACAAAATGGAAGAGGGATAATGATACAATTGGTCGACGAGTCTTGATTGACCTAATTAAGGAGGCAAAAATTGAAGAAGACACCCACCCTAGTGCAAAGATTCTTGTCCTATCAAGGTATGAATGAAACATATCTTTCTAGATTAAAACAAGACAACATATTGAGTACATACCTGAACTTTCAAATTCGGAAAGCATTCTTTCTGCAGACAGATTAATAAAAAAGATTAAATCAAAACAAGGTAAATTGACCTAAGAATTAGTGCCTGAAATTACAGTGACGGGGCAAAGCGCTGTGGACAGTTCTGTGTTGTATACAATGCACTTGAACAAATGACCATGGATAGAGAAGTGGACATATTTACCATAACACGGCTGCTACAGATTCGTCGACCTGAGTTTATAGCTAATTTGGTAAGACATTAACAGATTCAAAATCTAGTACTGTCTGTAATAAGAAATTTTGGTAACATACATATATGCACTTTTTTGTATTTCAGGAGGATTATCAGTTTTGTTATGACGCCGTTGCCGATTACCTACAAAATGATACAGTATATGCCAACAGCTAAAGACCTACTGCCAACCGTTTTTAACAAATGTTTGATTACACGCACATCAACTCAAACTATATTTTGAAATGTTGCTCTCATATTTTATTTCTTTTAAAAGCTTGAAAATTTTTTATTGAATACGTGAAGCATACACAAGAACTGTAATTTCCTGTTATGATTTTTTTCTCTTAATTTCCTTTATATGTTTGTTCATGATTTAACGTTAGATTGTGGATGGATTTTTTTCTGTTTATAAGTTTATGATGCTTTAAAATTGATTATACCATTCGATCATCTAGAAGGAGTTACAGCTAAATGTCACGGAACAAGCACATATATGGACTTTGTATTATATCGTTGTATTTCAATTAACTTTGCATATATAAATATTTATACACAAGGGTAACGTAATACATTAATCTTTAAATTGGAAAAAAAAAAAACTTTTCCTTTGGTCAAAAATCACATGTTGAACACAATGTCATGTGCTGTGCCAACCTGTGCAAGCGGGTTATCATCTGATGTTATCATCAGAGAAGTATTCTGTAGTAGTAAGATACATCGGAAGTATAACTGCAAAAATTGGCCTAATGAACGTGCACATAAAAAGCAATATGTATTGCAAGCTATTCTTTTCTCCTGCAAAATTTATTTTCATAATTATTCTTATTTAATTATTCATTTTTAGAAAAAAAAAAATTATATTAGTTTCATTACATTGTTATGCTCTTTTATTCACATTATTGAAATAATATAAAGACATTGCAATAAAAATCCTGAGTGTCGATTTTCTCTTCGAAACTAACACGCTAACTACTTAGGCTATACCGTTAGTACTAAACATTGGTATTTAAACCATGTTGTGATATGATTCTTGACTAAATGGACTTGAAATATTTCTTGGAAATATGCAAAAGTTGTTCCATAAAAGTGTGTTTTTAAGGTATAGTGGGTCATTGTACCATGTTTAATTTACCAACTTTAATTATGTTCCCCAAACGAAGTTTGGGAACATATTGTTTTTACTCTGTTTCTTATTATTATTATTATTACTATTATTCTTTTTTTCTACTTTCTTCTCCGGTACTTTTTTGTCCGGGAGTGTTCTCATAGAACCACTCATCCGATTGACATGAAACCTTTTTAGGGTTAATAGGCATGTTGCGTAGGTGTTCGGAACGAAGGTCATTTTGCGCGCACATGCATGCACGTGCGCGCGCGTGCAATGAGTGAAATGACTGATATACTTGATGAAGCCGTAACTTTTAAATTTCTTGATGAATTGCTTTGAAACTCAAAATATAAAGATATATTAGTAGTCTAGACAAGATAACATGGTCAAATTAGCGTGAACTCACGCGCATGCACGTGCGCTCTTTTCTGATTGGCTGATACAAAAATTTCAATAATTTCCTTGTTTTTTGACAAAATACTTTGAAATTTAGAATATAAGTATATATTACAAGGTGCTACAACATGTTATATAGGAAATTTCTTGAAAACACGCGCATGCAGGTGTACTGCAATCTGATTGGTTGAAAATTTAAATGTCTATAACTCCCTTGGTTTTCAACAAAACAGGATGAAATTTACGACATGGATAGGCACATAGAGCTCCTACATTATGATACTATCAAAATTGAATGCAAGGCCATGCATGCGCGTATGCTGAATTCTGATTGGCTAATACTTAAAGGGTTACATCTCTCTTATTTTTTCAATGAGATTCTTTAATATTTAACACAAATGTATGTATTGTGAGACACTATAAGAAAATTGATGTGAAAAATGTAGAAAACATGTGCAAACACATGCGCTGAAATTTGATTGGCTAATACCCATATGGCTATATCGGATTAGTTTTCCAATGAAATACCCTTAAAAATAAAGTGTCCATCTGGGGCATCATAAGGGATCGGGGAGCCGTTTGGGGAACATCTGTAACGGTTCCCGTTACAATTAGCACTAGTTTACACATACTTTTGATTGTAATCTTTCAAAGAGGGGTAGCGAAGGCCCACTCATATGGAAACAATTGTGTTTTGGTATAAAGAATTGAATTTTTACTCTCTTTGCATGGTGTATGTATGCTATTTCATAGAAGAATAATTTCAATCTTTGTAAGATCGTTGCGATTTATGGAAATTTTAAATAAAGTATACGTGTTAAATATGTCATAATTAAAATTTATTTTTTCACGTTTTTATTTGTCGCTCAATAGGCTTTTCGCTCGCCTTGTTCGCCCATCTATCCTACTTGTAAAATTAGGAAGGACGCCAGCTTTGATTTTTTTTTTTTTTTTTTCAAAATATGAACTGAATGTTTTATTGGGGATTTTTTTTTTAAAGGTTTTATTATGCAAATGTATTGAAACACTACAGCGATTCATAAGAAATTTTGTGAACATATTTCACTCAATTAAGACACCACTTAGTCGGTTTTATGTTACGGAATAAAACATTTGGCAGGTCATACGATTGCGCCTAAGACATACTTACGACCCTACTTAACAGGGTTTAGGTCACGAGCCGCATGTATAACTTTTGCCTCGAGCAGTGAAAAGATAAACCCAATTGAGATTACATAATTAAATTGAGATGGTTATACAAAGAGGAACACATTTACCTTTTTTGGCCAAATCATTGTTTTTTATGAATATTTACATGTTGGTTTTTTTTTTAATATTTAAAATGTATAATGTTTATATTAAATGTTAGCTGCAATAGCTTCTCTCCTAATTTTGTTTATTTTTTTATTATTTATTTATTTTATTTATTTATTTATTTTCATTTTCTGATGACCCCCCCCCCCCCCGTCCCCATTATACGCAAAAGGGAGAGGGCTACATAGATTGAAAAAGTGGATTAGCTTTTTTTATTACTTATAAATAAGTGATTACAAAATATTCTTGGATTACCATGCCCTCTTTAATGTTTTGAAAAATCACTAAATTGGTTATTTTACTATGCACTAACAGGGAGCATTTAAACTACGTTTGAAAAGAAAAAAATATATATTATATCCTTATAAATGAGATATATAGTAACATAAACTTGAAGAAAAATAGACCACGATTTATTACCTAACACCAGGGTTATTTTTTCCTATTTGTGTCTTGATTCGCATGCAGTGTTTCTTTCCCAATGGGACACCGGATCATTTTTGTGCTGATACATGTTCTTTTATCGAAAGCATAAAGTAGGTATTTAAAAAAAGCTAAATATTGGCTCATGCATACCGCAATACTAACCATTAAATAACGATGATTCATATTATTAGTGTATGAATTATTGCCAGGTAAATGTTGATATTTTTATGTAAAATTCATTATGCATCTTCCTGGTCCATATGATCTATAATATATTAAAATAGAAAAATGCATTCATTGTGACAGAAATTCTAGCTATTGACATATTGTGCTCATCTTTTTACTGAAAAAGTGGGTAAAATGTGAATGATCTCGCTTTATAAAGTGTAAAAATACAGATGCTTGTACATATGGACCGAAGCCCCCCTCACCCAATGTACACCCCGGATCCAAGGATATTTGTAATTGTTTTCTTTCATAGATTATGATTCTAGCATACAATTATAATGTATTTCATATGGGAAATCCAAAAACTTATGAAGAATAAACGTTTTATTTAAAAAAAAATAATACCCGCGGTATTAGAAAAAAAAAATCACTTTTGTTTGCTTACGTTTGACCCCTCTTGGACATCAGGCCTAAAATATCATTAACCTACTTCATGTCACCAAAATTGTCATTATATCTTGTTCGGAAGATATTTTTTGTTTCTATGGAGGGTAATCGTGATCAAAAATCCAGACTTGTAAGTTTGTAAATCCAAACTTGAAAGTTTGTAAATCCAAACTTGTAATCGTATCAGTTTCATAGTCTACATATGTAAGTAGGTAATTCCGACATCCTAGCGTGAAGTTCCGAACATACAACTGTGTTGGCTTTGAGTTTATACTATGAATGTGTGTACTTTTGATGTTGTAAACTTTGTTTTCCGGAATTTATATTTCCGCGCTCTGAATAAAAACAAAGAAAATTGACAAGTCTAAAGTCTACACGTTTGTCGAATTTGAAAATAAGAACCTCTGGAGGGTCATCAGTGCCACAATTATTTTAATGACCTTATTTTCTTTTTTATTCTAACTTTTTGTTTTCCAAATTAAATTCTTCATTTTTTTAATTCTTACTTCTTGAAGGAGCGGATCTAGAAGGGGGTCCGGACTCCCCACCCCTCCCCCTGAAATTTGCAGACTTATTAAATGATTATACTAAACGAACTAAAAGTGACCTTGGATCCCCCTCGAAAACGCTGATCTGTATTAAGTTGACGACTGAATAAAACACAAAGACAATTGACAAGTCTACAAAATGTAAAGTCTTGATTATGAGAAACTATGGAGGGGCATCAGTGCTACATTTTTTCCCTTTTTTTATTCTAACTTCGTCTTTTTCCAACTGAAATAAATTATTTAATTTTTTTTCCCTTTTTTATTCTAACTACCAATTTTATATTAATATTTTCGTTTGAATTTGTTATTTAATTTTAATCCTAACTTTTTGTTTATATGTTCCAATTTTATTTTGTCTTCTTAATTTTATCTTATTTGACGATGTGACATGAATCATTACCCGCTTATTCACGGCTTGCGCGGATCTAGAGGGGCTTAGGCTTTTAAGGTCTCAACCGAAAAATAATTAAATTTGACTTTCAATGCCGAAGGAATAGTCATTACATGTACCAACACGTATGTTAAACGTCTTACATTTTGCCGGCCGGCACTAGAAAATTAGGACAAGCGAACTCTTACCCTCCAATGGCCTACGAAGCTAGCGCCCAATCACTAGGCTACTGTGATCAGTGCCCCAGTTTAGTAAGAACCAATGTAACTTAATAAGATATCATCTTTAAAAAAGAAAAAAAAAAAAAAAAAAAAAACAATAACCACTCAGTAGATGAAGATCCGTATCAATGTTGGGGGGGGGGGGGGGGCTCCAAAACAAATTGACGATGAAAAAAAAACTGCCCAAACTCTTCCTTCG